GACCGACTCTTCAATTACATACAAAAGTTTGGGACTTCGGCTGCAAAAATTAAAGATTGGGGATCGACGCTGCAATTATATAAAAGGTTTGGGATCGAAGCTGCAATTACATATAAAGGTTTGAGACTTCGACCGTAAAAAGTAAAGGTTTGGGTGTAATTTGCAACAAAATGAAAGGTTTGGGACCGCGGCCGCAATTTTTCCCCACAAAAATCGTTAGTTGACCCCAGAAATCAAAAATTAGGAGGGATAAAATGGTAACTTGAAATTTTTCTCATTAAATAAATTTTAAAAAAATGCAATCAGTTTCTCCTTCCCGGCATCAACAGTGTCGGCACGTTGTCGACACCACCACCGACACACTGATGACACCACCACCACTATTGCCGCCTCCTCCCACCACCACCACTATTGCCGCCTCCTCCCACCACCACCACTGTAAATCACAAATGAAAAAAATCACGTTCGACACCCAAAAATGGAACCTAAATCACGGCAACCACCAACACGTCGCCACGGCTGCCACCCATCACCCGCCAAATCCCCATCATCATATCCCAAACCAGGAAACCATCTACCACCACCACCACTGATCTCCTCACCACCACCATCACCAATGCCGGTAATTTTCCATTTTCAAACTTCAAACTCAATTCAAAAAATTCAAAAAAAAAAATCAAAAGATAATGGAAAATTGAATCCCATTGGAGCCAGAACCTCAAGCAAACTTGTACGACCATGGGTAACCATTCAATTGGAGCCATTAAGACCTATCGAACTACCCCAACCTCAATTGGAGCGATTAAATCACCCCTAACCTTAATTGGAACAATTAAATGGTTACCCTTTATCATATAAGTTTGTTTGAGGTCGATAAATGTTTTCGATAGGATAAGCCCGGGTTTGCCTAGAAATAGGCAGGCTTATTCACCCTCCAAGCCTAGAAATAGGCATACTCATCATTCTCTTCATGTGCCTAGAAATAGGCAACATGAGCCTCCTCGGTATGAAAGACAAGAATCGATCTACCATGAAGAGCCTCAGATTCCCTCCTAGAAATAGGCATGGGAGAAAGGACCGAGCTATGAGTGAGGCAGAACCCTCCCAACCACCTCTCCAAACTTAGTAAAGGGATGAGGAGAATTATGATGAACCACAAACGTCATGCGACCTCGATGACGACGATGACCATTCACCATTCTCACAAGCCATTAGGAATGCCCCAATGCTAAACCACTTCATGCTCTCTAAAATTCCTAAGTATGATGGGAGAGGTGACCCCACGAAACACCTCAACAGCTTCAAGACACATATGAATTTGAAAGGGGCTACCCCATCTATAAGTACAGGGCCTTCCAACTGACCTTGAGTGGACGATCTGAAATTTTGTATACTAAGCTACTAAAAGGTAGCATCCAAAGCTGGCCGGACCTCAAAAGGACGTTCCTAAATTACTTCGCTACTAGCAAAGAGGGAGAAAGGCCCATCCAACGATTGCAAGATATGCGACAAAAACAGGGCTAGACACTGAAAAGTTTCTTGTCCCATTTCACTGACAAAATGACCTACTGTGTGCAAGTCATAGATAGGGAAGCTTTGACTGCTTTAAGAGAAGTTTTAGACATGAACTCTTTTTTATGGAGAAACGTGCACAACCCTACTACCCATGATGCCATATTAGAAATGATGAGGCGAGAAATCCTCAATGAAGAATTGAGATATCATAGAAACAAGACTAGCCATGGGCTTCCACCTCCTCAGATACAAAGGAAAGATGTCCTACCTCCTATTTGATGGATCATCAGGCACCCCTTAATCATGGACAAGCACTAACTGCAGCAACACTTAATGCAGTACCCACTTTGACTTATGAGGAGGTCAACCCTAATGCCGAAATACATTAGTGTCAGCCTTACCAGAGGTACCACAAAGGGAAAGAGGTGGAGGACGAGGAGCTGAACTTAGAAATAGAGATGAAGCACCCATTTATTGTACCTACCATCAATCTTACGGCCACTGCACAGAGAACTATTGCGACGTCGCAAGATACTGCTGAAACATAAATCAGGGAAAAGGTAAGCGCTTCCAAAGAGATGCTCATTCCAGGCAAACCCAACAGCCTGGGAATGTTGAGCCAAGGTGTCCCAAGAGAAATGGCGCCCCAAGGGGAAGGGATAATGATTCAAAAAGATC